TTTCAACGTGGTATGGCCGTAGACATTATATAGGAATTTTTCTGGCGGGTCTTTCTCGCAAATCAAGGGGAAATACTAGCAAAAAGGAGTCTACAGCACTCGGTGTTCCCAGGCGGTCACCCATCCAAGTACTAACCGAGCCCGACGTTGCTTAACTTCAGTGATCGGACGAGAACTGGTGCTTTCAACGTGGTATGGCCGTAGACATTATATAGGAATTTTTCTGGCGGGTCTTTCTCGCAAATCAAGGGGAAATACCAGCAAAAAGGAGTCTACAGCACTCGGTGTTCCCAGGCGGTCACCCATCCAAGTACTAACCAGTGATCGGACGAGAACTGGTGCTTTCAACGTGGTATGGCAGTAGATATTATATAGGAATTTTTCTGACGGGTCTTTCTCGCAAATCAAGGGGAAATACCAGCAAAAAGGAGTCTACAGCACTCGGTGTTCCCAGGCGGTCACCCATCCAAGTACTAACCGAGCCCGACGTTGCTTAACTTCAGTGATCGGACGAGAACTGGTGCTTTCAACGTGGTATAGCCGTAAACATTATATAGGAATTTTTCTGGCTTGTCTTTCTCGCAAATCAAGGGGAAATACCAGCAAAAAGGAGTCTACAGCACTCGGTGTTCCCAGGCGGTCAGCCATCCAAGTACTAACCGAGCCCGACGTTGCTTAACTTCAGTGATCGGACGAGAACTGGTGCTTTCAACGTGGTATGGCCGTAGACATTATATAGGAATTTTTCTGGTGGGTCTTTCTCGCAAATCAAGGGGAAATACCAGCAAAAAGGAGTCTACAGCACTCGGTGTTCCCAGGCGGTCACCCATCCAAGTACTAACCGAGCCTGACGTTGCTTAACTTCAGTGATCGGACGAGAACTGGTGCTTTCAACGTGGTATGGCTGTAGACATTATATAGGAATTTTTCTGGTGGGTCTTTCTCGCAAATCAAGGGGAAATACCAGCAAAAAGGAGTCTACAGCACTCGGTGTTCCCAGGCGGTCACCCATCCAAGTACTAACCGAGCCCGACGTTGCTTAACTTCAGTGATCGGACGAGAACTGGTGCTTTCAACGTGGTATGGCCGTAGACATTATATAGGAATTTTTCTGGCGGGTCTTTCTCGCAAATCAAGGGGAAATACCAGCAAAAAGGAGTCTACAGCACTCGGTGTTCCCAGGCGGTCACCCATCCAAGTACTAACCGAGCCCGACGTTGCTTAACTTCAGTGATCGGACGAGAACTGGTGCTATCAACGTGGTATGGCCGTAGACATTATATAGGAATTTTTCTGGTGGGTCTTTCTCGCAAATCAAGGGGAAATACCAGCAAAAAGGAGTCTACAGCACTCGGTGTTCCCAGGCGGTCACCCATCCAAGTACTAACCGAGCCCGACGTTGCTTAACTTCAGTGATCGGACGAGAAGTGGTGCTTTCAACGTGGTATGGCCGTAGACATTATATAGGAATTTTTCTGGCGGGTCTTTCTCGCAAATCAAGGGGAAATACCAGCAAAAAGGAGTCTACAGCACTCGGTGTTCCCAGGCGGTCACCCATCCAAGTACTAACCAGTGATCGGACGAGAACTGGTGCTTTCAACGTGGTATGGCAGTAGACATTATATAGGAATTTTTCTGACGGGTCTTTCTCGCAAATCAAGGGGAAATATCAGCAAAAAGGAGTCTACAGCACTCGGTGTTCCCAGGCGGTCACCCATCCAAGTACTAACCGAGCCCGACGTTGCTTAACTTCAGTGATCGGACGAGAACTGGTGCTTTCAACGTGGTATGGCCGTATACATTATATAGGAATTTTTCTGCCAGTTCTTTCTCGCAAATCAAGGGGAAATACCAGCAAAAAGGAGTCTACAGCACTCGGTGTTCCCAGGCGGTCACCCATCCAAGTACTAACCGAGCCCGACGTTGCTTAACTTCAGTGATCGGACGAGAACTGGTGCTTTCAACGTGGTATGGCCGTAGACATTATATAGGAATTTTTCTGGCGGGTCTTTCTCGCAAATCAAGAGGAAATACCAGCAAAAAGGAGTCTACAGCACTCGGTGTTCCCAGGCGGTCACCCATCCAAGTACTAACCGAGCCCGACGTTGCTTAACTTCAGTGATCGGACGAGAACTGGTGTTTTCAACTTGGTATGGCCGTAGACATTATATAGGAATTTTTCTGGCGGGTCTTTCTCGCAAATCAAGGGGAAATACCAGCAAAAAGGAGTCTACAGCACTCGGTGTTCCCAGGCGGTCACCCATCCAAGTACTAACCAGTGATCGGACGAGAACTGGTGCTTTCAACGT